TATTCTAGAGGTCCTGAGTTCAATTCCCAGGAACCACACAGTGGCTCACAACCATCCATAATGAGATCTGGTGCCCTCTTCTGGCCCTCTAGCAGAACACTGTATACTTAATAAAAATGTATTCTGAGCACTGCTATAGCAACTTTGGTTTTTCACACTTGAATTTTGTTCTCAGCTATTACTGGTTTTCTAGAAAGATGTATGATGTCACTGAAGTAATACTGATTAAAGTAAATGAATGTTTTTACTCTTCTGGGGAAAATGTCTTAATGTTCCTTTTTCAGCGTGTCTCACAGCAGGTGATCTCTAAGCATGTGTATGGACCAGCATCACCTCCATAGTGAGGGTTAACTTCCACGTAAACTTGATAGGTTTGAATTACCTGGGAGACCTGAAAGGTAGGCCTGTCTGTGGGGGTGTGTGCAGAGAGGATTAACTGAGGGGGCAGTGTCTACCCTCAATGGGAAGCACTGTCCTGTGGGCTGGGCTCCTTGACTGTGTGGGAAGGGAGAAAGGAGAGCTAGGTGAGAGCTGGCACTCATCCTCTCTGGTCTTTGGCTGGGGTGAGCTGTGTCTACTGCTTCATTTGCTACCCAGACTGTCCGTGCTGAAGGTACACTCTTAAACTTCGAGCCACTATGAATTAAGCCACTTCTCTAAGATACTTTGTTACAGCCTCAAGGTAACTAATTTGTGGGAGGATATGTTAGAAATGCCCATTCTCAGGCTGCACCTCAGATGCCATGAATTCTGAAACCTGGGGGGATGTGTTAGAAATGCCTGTTCTCAGGTTGTACCCCAGATGCTATGAGTTCTGAAATTGGGGGGCATTCTAGAAATACCCATTTTCATAGACTGCTGAACTCTGAAATCTGAACCACTAGCCAATGGAATCTCTTTTGTCTCAGATTTAGGTCTCTCAGAAAGTTCAAACATTGTTTTTTATGACTTTACCAACCATGAGGGTTAAAAGGATCAATGGGTGAAGTTTTTACCCGTCCTTTCCAGAGGCCTTGAAACTGTACCCATATCTGATTTGTCTTAACGAAGCAGGGTTCTACTGCTAGTAGTTTTAGTGTTGCTCAGCAATGGTTAATGTTGCTTATGCATGTGAATTTTTGTGACAAATGGCGGAACCTTGGGCGCTGTTGCAGTCTGAGCTGTCCGCTTACTCTCACAGTCATACTTACAATAACAAATGCACAGTCAGCTCTTCCTCAAGACAGAGCGGCACAGTTGTTGTGATTCTGTTGGCTGCAACGTTGATGAGAGAAGTCCTAGCAGTCATTCCTGGAGACACTTCTTAGTTTGTTCTCAACGTTGTCCATGACAGTATCAGGCAGCGGAGCGCACCTTTAATCCAGCACTCAGGAGGCAGAGGCAGCTGTAAACCTCTAAGTTTGAGGCCAGCCTGGTCTACAGAGCAAGTTCCAGGATAGCCAAGTCTGCACAGAGAAAGCCTGTTTCAAAAAAACCAAACCAAACGAAACAAAACAAAACAAAAATAAAAACAAGAACAAAACCCCGAAGTTGTCTGTGACTTAATTTTACAAAGGCTTGCTTTCTCTCTTTGGAGATAATCTTTACCATCTGATGATATATTTTACCATTTTGTCCTGAAAGCACATTACAGTTTAGTCAGATATGCACGCTGTGTTGTGAATTCTGCTGCAGGAATGCCCCAGTTGAGGCTTTATTTTTACGTGCTTAGAACACTTAAGGAATTACATCCATGATTAGCGCAGCTCAGCATTGCAGAGTGGGTGAGCGCTGCTGTGGGCTTGGGGCCCTGTTTGGGAGAAGCCTTCTTGCTCCCTGAGTCAGAATCCTCTCTGTTGTTGACTCATCATAGGCTGAGACCCTGCAGCCTGTCCTCATAAGATTCTGCTTCCCTGCTGGAGCTCATTTCCTCTCCTTCATATCCTTGGGGTCTGTTCTTCATTCCTAAGTAATACTTACTTTATAGTCTGCCAGCATACATGCACGCACCTACGCACGTGTGCGACACCCCCACACACCCACATGCATATCCACACCTACCCACCCACCTCCGCATTCACCCACTCACCCAGAGACACCGGAATATTATCAGTTCATTCCTATAATTGCATAAACTAGGGATATTTTTATGAATCAGCCGTAGCTATTACTTTATGACATATGCTTTTTGATGAGCAAGGGCACCTAAGATCATGCATTAGTTATCAATATAAGAGAAAATTGGAGCCCATTGAAGTGAGTGATTTGTTGTGTATCAGTAAGTTGGGAACCACCTCCATCTTTAGGAGACCAGCATACAAGAGAAACATTCTGTTTCTTGGCTTCAGCTGTTTCTAACATTGTCTCCCCCTTCCCCTCTTTTGTGGGGGAACATGGGCTGGATAGTGAATCCCTGGCCTTGTGCTCACCAAGGACACATTTTGTCAGCGCTCTACACCTTCAACTCTTGCTCCCAACTTTGAAGCTGAGTGAAATGTGTGCAATAAATGCATCACGTGGCTGCCGTCCGCCAGGCAGCAGCACGCAGATGTGAGTACGGGTTGTTGCTTCTTGCCTGTGTAAGCAACTGCAAAGCTGTCGGTATTTCAGCTCAGTCATTAGCTAAGGGGCAGGTTACAGAGGGATGGCGAGTCTCTGTAGTTGCTTGGAAACCTTGTTTAGAGAACTTGTTAAGGCGATCCCACAACCACTGCCTCAGAAGTGGGTGCTGCCACCTTGGGAGTAAATCCTGGATTTTGAAGTGGGGCACCCTTTAAAGAAGTGATTATGTCTCCAGTGGTTTTGGAGGCACAAAGGAAAAATGTTTGTGGGGGAACCAGATGTTGGTGACTGAGATGGAAAGTGAATCACAAGTGTTTGGGCTCTGAAGCTTTAGAAATATCTGCACACAAGTAGTTTGTTTCCTTTTCCATGTGTGTACATGATGATAACAAGCCAACTCTCAAGTAGCTCTTTTAATCAACTAGAATAGAAGTGCTGAGTTCACAGATGATTGGACTTAATTCACATGAGATCCTGGAGTGTTTTCCGCGTTGCGCCATGCTATGGTCAGCAGAAGTGGTTTTACATTGATGGTGGGGTTTGTTTAATGTGGTAGTGTAGAGGACTCTGGGAGTTTGGCCAGTCACAGGTCTCGTTGCTGTGGACTTTGTTGCATTAGTCTAAAGGCCAGGATTCCTCGGTCTGCCGATGACTGTGCACTGTGTAACCAGGGAAGGAGATAGTTCCTGACGGACTGCAGCCCCAAATGCATGATTCAGCCTTCCTCTCTCCCTCCCTTTCCTGGGATCAGATCTGTGTCTATAACCTGCAGCTCTTCCGCCACCTCTCTGGGCTCTCTCCTCTCTCTTTCTCAAACCCTTCCCCTAATATATTTCCTGGGTTTCCCTTTGTGTAAGAGAATTCTGACTAGGAAAATGAACTTTTGTAACAGACACTTGTTTCCGGGCCCAGTTGTGTTTGTTATCAACATCAGCAGACACTTTGTGTTTGTATAAACTGTTCTTTTAATTGTCTAAGTTGATAAAGTTTCAATCATAAAGCAAGTAGTTTTAAAAGCCTGCTCTGTGCCTGGCCATGTTTTAGTGTTCAAGGATGCAATGGGGAATTAGCTTCTTGTCCAGGTCAGGTGCTTAGCTGGTGGCCACCCAGGAGAACGAATTACCAGGGCCATTGAGCCCAGGTGGTGGCCTCCTTCCAGTCAGGGTGACCCAAGCATCACAGAGAGGCTGGAGATCCAGGTCCTGTTCGTCATTGACCAGATGCTCTTTTTGAAGAGCACACCTCCCTTTCCCTCTCTCTTCTTTTTAAATTTAGCAGTTTCTTGCCTTATTGAGTATGATATTTTACTTCTAGCTCTGTCCGTAATATCACTGATTTACGAAACTGTAGTTCTCTTTTTCTGACTTAAAACTGGAAAGCCAAATTCCAGTTCTGCCTGATGATGCTTTTGTAGTGTCTACAGACTAATCCCTCGCTTACTTCCATGGTTTTAACTTCCTTCTCATAGTGTTCTGCCCAAGTATTTATTTTGTTAAAAAAAACCATAGAAGCAGGGTCCTTAATGTCCCACATGCAGAGAGGAAAGAGGGCCAAGGATAAACAAGGGTAGATGTTCCAAGTCCTTATTAGGTCAATGCCCTCCTGATGATACACAGCGGATTTTGAGTTACGGTTTTTATTTTTTACTAAGCCTAAGTTATTTCATTGCTACCAACAAAGGGCGTTAGACTTTGAAAATTATAGTCAAAGTACCATGTTTTTTCCTTCAGAGTTCATTATTATAGAAAGGAAGGTTTTAACTTTAACATAGTGAAATTACATATAACAAAACAGGTAGCCGGGCGGTGGTGGGCTGGAGAGATGGCTCAGTGGTTAAGAGCATTGCCTGCTCTTCCAAAGGTCCTGAGTTCAATTCCGGGCAACTACATGGTGGCTCACAACCATCTGTAATGAGGTCTGGTGCCTTCTTCTGGCCTGCACGCATAACACAGACAGAATATTATATACATAATAAATAAATAAATATTTTTAAAAAAGCTGGGCGATGGTGGCGCACGCCTTTAATCCCAGCACTCAGGAGGCAAAGGCAGGCAGATCTCTGTGAGTTCGAGCCCAGCCTGGTCTACAAGAGCTAGTTCCAGAACAGGCTCCAAAGCCACAGAGAAACCCTGTCTCAAAAAGAACCTTTCCATGTCCATCATCCTCTTGAAGTAGATTGGTGCTGCTAGGAGCAGATGTGTCTCGATGTCATGAAAAGTCCTAAGTTCTTAAACATTTTAAATGCCATATTCTGTTAGTCTTTGAAATGTTTGAAGAATAACTATCCATCTGAAATATATCTCTGTACATCTAGAAAACCTAACTACTTTTTGTGGATGACTATTTATTAAGCTGTATTTCTTAATAATAAATTGCATTTTTAAATGAGCTGCACAAACACAATACCTTGATCAAGAGCAGAAATACATATACATAGTCACCTTGAGAAGCTGGAGTGCCGTGGGCTGAGCAGGGGCTTCAGGGGAGTCGGAGTGCAGATTGAAAAATGCAGACCACCAAGGCACTGCTCGTTACTCCAGTGCTGATCCGCTCCTGTACCAGGGGTCTAATCAGGCCTGTGTCTGCCTCCCTCTTGAGTAGACCAGAGGCCCCATCTAAACAGGTTAAACAGCCTTCCTGCAGTGGCTCCCCTCTCCAGGTGGCCAGACGGGAATTCCAGACCAGTGTTGTTTCCCGGGACACTGACACAGCTGCCAAGTTTGTTGGTGCTGGGGCTGCCACAGTTGGTGTGGCTGGATCCGGGGCAGTGTTTGGTAACTTGATTATTGGCTATGCCAGGAACCCGCCTCTCAAGCAACAGCTCTTTTCCTATGCTATTCTGGGCTTTGCCCTGTCTGAGGCCATGGGGCTCTTCTGTTTGATGATCACCTTCCTCATCCTTTTCTCCATGTGAGGCTCCATGGGGTACCCAGCTGCCCCTGCTGCTTCGACTCCATGCTGGTCCTGGTGCTGGAGTGTGCTAAGCTCTACCATTAAACAACAACGTTTCTCTAAAAAGAAAAAAGAAAAAAAAAAGAAATACATATACATACTGTAACAAAATTGATCTTAAATTTTATCAATAGACCAAGATCCATAACAATGCAAAGTATTCATCTTTATATAGCATATCCCCTTTTAAATGTAAACAGACATTTATAAACAATCATTTAGGGAATTTGGGCATTGTTCTCTAGACTACTTCCTGCTGATTGGGGATGCTGTTAATCAGGTCTATCATGGTCCATTTCAGCCAACAGTCCTGAAGCTGTCATGGATGTTTAACCATCTCAGCCACTGAAGTCAAGACACCTTTAAAGTATATATGTTGGTTTAGCTTATCAGCCTGTACAATGAAATGTGTCTCTGTACTTAGCTCATTCATAATGAAAAAATTCGGAGAAAACACAATAATATACATAATCCAGACTCTCTGTGTATACTCCATTTTTTTGTGGCTTATTTTTCTTACTCTATTACTCTTTCTTCAAGTTTAGTATTTTATTACCTTTCCTCCTTTAATCTATGACTGTCTTTACTCTTTTCTGTTATAACTGTTTATACTTTTTCCTCTCTTTCTCAAGCCTGTGTACATTTATCCAACACTGTGACTCATTTAGAGGTCTTTTCCATATGGATTTCTCTTTATTGCATGCATATCTGTAATTAGTTTTTGACCAGGAGTGCTCTTTTTTTTCTTTTTTATGTTAAGCAGGCATGGCTAGGACCAACTTCGTGGTCCTGCCTGCTTGCTCTACCAAGTCCAACCCGACCGAGGCATGTTTGCTGCCTCTGAGAGCCATTCTCCCCACCCCAGATCCAGGGCCGTAGCCTGTCTGTGCTACCATTCAGCAATTGATAACAAGCTGTTCACAGATCACATTTAAGTGCTCAGCCTCTTGAAAGAGCCAGAGCTGTTTGTGCAACTAGCACTAACCAGGAGGCCTTCTTAAGAGAGACGCACAGTTTTTGGTGCTACCTTTGAGTCAGGATGCCTTCTCTTGGAACAGCCATGCCTCTGCTTGCTGCCAGCAAACAGAGCCCATCCGGAAAAATGTATGGCTAACAAGAAGCTGTGCTTGGCTCCCATTTTTTATGGGTCTAGAAGCCCTCTTTTTTTTTTTTTTCCAAAGCTTTTTTAGGTCCTATATGGATCTATGCCCCAGACAGTGGGTACCATTTTTGTTGGTGGAGGCTGCTTGTTCATTTCCCTGCCGCCCAGACCCAAAATAATTATTCAGAAACTTTATTATTTGCAGTACTGTTTGGCCAGTTGCTTAAGCATATTTCTAGCTAGCTCTTACATCTTAAATTAATACATTTCTATTATTTTATATTTTACCATGAGGCTTGTGGCCTACTGGCAAGGTTCCGTCTGACTTGTGTCTCTCTTTTTTGGCGGCTACATGGCTTCTCACTGACTCCGCCTACTTTCTCCCAGCATTCAGTTTAGTCCCCCCTCCCCAGCTCTATTCTACCTTACCACAGACCAAAGCAGCTTATTAACCAATAAAAGCAACTCATACACAGAATTCCCGCACCAATTTTAATATTCTCATGAAAACTTGGATGTACATTGATAGGGAGAGCTATGAGATAGGAGAGCACTCAGCTAAATGGAGAAAAGGGTCACAGCACCAGTGTGGATGGAGAATAATTGAACTGTTTAATGATGAGTTGGTTTAGCTGGAAAAAAATTTTTTATAGCAATATTTCTCTGTACTCATGATAACTCTATTTGTGGGAAAGGGGGGCTGATATATGGGGGCAGTGGAGAAAAGGGGAGGGGTGAAAATGAGCAAGTGTATGAGAAAATGATGCCTTGTGTATGAGAGATGCCATCATGAAACCTAGTATGCTGTACACAGCTGAGGTTAATATGTAAGAACAGTGTCTACCTTAGACATAGTACCCACATTTGTTTAATAAAGAATTATCTTAGCTCTGAGTGCTTAGATAGTAGGACACTATTGTGCCACAGACCACATAGTGGGTTTTTTTTTTTTGCACAGCTTTTGAGAGTACTCTGTGATAGCCACATCTGATGATTTGTGTTCTTTTTGTTTTAAGGTACCCCACTTTCTAAAATCTTTCTGATGCTTTCAGAGGGAGTATCTTCTCAAGCCACAAGGGCCGATGGGCAGCGTAGGTGAACAGGCTCTTAAAAACTGCGCCCCGAGATGCAGTGCCACAAGTGTCTCAGTGTATCTGCTCCCACCTCTCCAGTAATGGGAAAAAATTTAGTGATAAAACCCACACTCTTACAGAATAAAGTTTTTCCATGTAACAATCCTTTTTTGGAAAAGTATTTCTCATTTTGGGAAAGCTGCTTTGTTCATCAGATTGATAAATCCTTGGCTTTCTTTCTTTAGGTTCTGTTTCAAGGGAAAATAAACACGGTGTCTCAGCTCAGTGGTTTCTTTGCTGCCGTCTGTGACATTGAAGTTGAAAAGTAGAGTTTTCCCTCCAGTGCAATAAAATAGAAAGTGTCTGGAAGGTCGTGGGAGACGATAGTGGCGAGTCTCTTGCTCGCAGATTGTGCATTCCTTTAGAGGTCACAAGCACTTGGAATCCAGGCTTTAAATAATGAGGGCTGCGGGGAATGGATGTAATTCCGCCTGTTTCTTCTGTGCTCAGCCTGTCTTTGCTTTTAGCTCCTTATTTGAAAGGCATTGTTTGACGTGTCCAGCTCCTTCTCTGTTTTACCTGGGTGGTCGCTTCAGAAAATTGTTACTAATCTTGCCATGGTATGCTCCTGTTCGTACTGTTCTAGAGTGTGTAGTCTTTTGCTAGAGGTCTTACCCACTTACACTCTACGGCCCCAGAACTCAGCCTTGTATAGCCGTGCTGGGAGAAATTACTGTCTGCTACAGGGGCTGTTATGGGTGCTAGAACCGAACCCCGTCCTGTGGTCTGTTACTATTAGCAGGTTTCTTAGCTCATCTTGAGTTGGAAGGTTGCCTAAGGTAAGTTTCCCTTTCCTTTTCTGTTTTTGACACAGTACTGGAGAGTTAATTTTGCCTGGCAGTTGCTCGGTCATGGAGCTATGTCCACAGCCATCTACTACTGCTAACTCTTACCACTAACTACTACCACTACTACCTCTTCCTCCTCCTCCTCCTCCTCCTCCTCCTCCTCCTCCTCCTCCTCCTCCTCCTCCTCCTCCTCCTCCTCATCATCATCATTTTGAGACAGAGTTTCTCTATGTAACAGCCTTATCTGCTTGCCTTGGCAGGGGAAGTGGGGGAGGAGTTGTTAAGGGGGTGGGATTGGAAGTGGGGGGATAGGATGCCCAGGTGACAGGACAGGTCAGCAGATTTATTCCAGCACTTGTGGAGTCTCTGAGTCCCTGAGTCTTAATCCTGCAAAATAAAGTGAAAATACAGCTTGTGTTTTGCCTTTCCCCAACTCATCTAGAATCCCAGGATTAAGGATAAATAAGGACCTCAGGTTTCATGGGCTAACTTTCTGTGGAGAAGGACCCTGTGACAGACACGCCTGGACATTCAGTTGCTAGCACCTCGTGTTTATATAGACATAGTTAGTCATCTCTACCTTGGAAGGCAGCCTGGGTCACTATAGCTCTTAATAAATTCCTCACAATAGTGAAACCAAACCCTGCTGCTCTGTGGTCTACCCATATATTTTGCTTCGCACACTTTGAGCAAACAAAATCTGTTTTCTCCCCTTTCTCTTATACTATCATTTAAATATATAAAGACAGTCTTTGGGTCTTGCTAAATGTCCTCTTCCTCCTGTTGCCATTAAACACTGCCCGTAGTTCTCTCCACTGACGTTTAAATGGGATCTGGGGGGTTAGGCTGTCAGGCTTGAGCAGCAGCTGCCTTTCCCCACTGAGACATCTCACAGGCTGGATCCTCGTTAGCATTCAAATTAGGAACATCTCTAGGAAATGCTTCGCTGTCCTGTTGAGATGGCTTCTTAGACGTTAACTGCCGAGTTGAGCACCATGTGTATAACTGGTTTGTTCCTTCACCATCTGATGGGTCACGTTTGGGCACATGTCAGCCCTTAACGCCCATCACGGAATTCATACAGATCGTTGAGATTTCCCGTACATTTGAGCATCTGCCTTTCGGCATCAGAGTCCAGTAGCACTCTCACCTATGAAGGCGTTGTGTTTGAATCCCTCTTTTAATGAGAGAGCTATTAAACGGTGGTGCTTCCAGCCAGCATTCTGTCTCAGCAGCAAATGTGGGAGACGTCTGTAAAGAGTACAGGACGATAAAGTGACTGTTTAGGCGGCCGCCAGTCTGGTCCAGAGGCAGAGCCACCTTGCCTTCTGCTCTTGTCTGCGGTTGGCTGGGAACACAGGTGACTCTGTGTATGGCTATGTACATGGCTTATTTTGTGCTCTAGTGCTATACTGAGGTCTCACGGCTGTAGGTTGTCGCCTGGCTTTCTACAGAAGAGACGGGCTGTCTCCTGCTGCAGCACAAGGGCCGCTGAGTCATTGAGATGTTTTTTTTGTTCATGTAGTTGCCTTTTGTTTCTAAGGCCATCTAAAACCCTTCCCAAGACTCAGAAATGAAGGAATTCTGGGACTTCTTCCTACTAGAATGATTACATCATCCTGTATGCTTGTAAAATCACATTCTGTATTTGCTCGTTCGTCTTGTTTTTAACACGTGGAAGACTTTCTCACTACCGTTAATTCAATTGGTTTTGAATTTGTCTCATCATTGCACTTCACCTTGGAAGCCACAGGGTAAGTGGGTTGGAGATTTAGTACTCACTTGGCTGGGGGGCGGGTAGTGTTTGGCAGTAGGAGGACCCATTTGTCTCTGGGGAGGATGGACTGTTTGGCATTAGGGGGACTCATTTGTCTCTGGGGAGGATGGACAGTGCTTGGCATTAGGAGGACTCATTTGTCTCTGGGGAGGATGGACTGTGTTTGGCATTAGGAGGACCCATTTGTCTCTGGGGAGGATGGAGAGTGTTTGGCAGTAGGAGGACTCATTTGTCTCTGGGGAGGATGGACTGTGTTTGGCATTAGGAGGACTCATTTGTCTCTGGGGAGGATGGACTGTGTTTGGCATTAGGAGGACTCATTTGTCTCTGGGGAGATTGGACTGTGTTTGGCATCAGGAGGATTCATTTGTCTCTGGGGAGGATGGAATAGCAACAACATTATATTTCTGTGAAATTATAAAGAGCATGCGATTCCATGGAGCCTCCAGTCTATTTTGAGAGAGAGAAGAAAACAGCCCTTGTTCTGTAACCAGAAGTACCTTGCGGAAATGGTTAGTGTCTGACCTTTCTTTGTTCTTAAGGAAAAATAGTTTAGGCTCTGTTGTAGAGTTACAAACTGGACTTTCCAGGGACCGACAACAGAACAGTGGAGTTTAAGCTTGTTTACAAACCATTTTTAGTTTAAAAACCAAAACAAAGCAAAAACCACAGAAACCTAAATTTGTGTACACTGCTGTCTGTCACCATCCTCCTCTGCTTAGGGAGTTTGTTTATTGACTTCTAGCAAGAAGAGGCCCTCACACTCTTTCCAGCCTTCCCCTTTAGTCTGTATCAGATCAGTTCTCTAAATGAAGGAAAATTCCATGACTTGAAATTACTCTTGAGCTAGCTTTTTGGTCTCCTCTTTTGGAGGGACTGTTTGCTGCAGTGTAAGGGATTTTAGGAGGTTGTCACATACCCATGTTATAGATGTCTTTTCCACTCTTTGTGCGTTCCCTCGGCAGTGTTTTGATGTTAACAGATGCATTGGGTGTCTCCAGCGTCCTTGCCTTCATTTCTGCTATCGGCATTGAGCTGCTGCTTTCTCTTTCCACATGGAGGACCTTCCTGAGCCTTACCTTTGCCTGGAGAGCACCTGGTATCTGTTCCAGGCTTGGGTCTGTGCCACTCGGCCTCACTGAGGGATTTGCTCCTCTGTGACTTGGAGATTTCTGCAGCTCAGCTCAGCAGCATTCCAGATCCCACAGTTTGAGATGCTGTTGCATTGGTACCTCTAGAAAATGCTGCGTCTGGGATGAACCTCAGCTCTCATCCCCTCTCTCCACCATGAGAGAGAAATCCCACAGTAAGGCAGATGGAAACTCATGCTCACTTCTTCAGGGGGACTTTAGCCCTGTGCAGGCTGTTCCTGTTTCCATAGGCAGTGATCCTCATTTGAAGTCTCTTCTTCCCCTCTCCCTTCCTCCCCCTCCCTACTTCTTTTCTGCTATGTCTTTAAATTCTTCTCAGGCCTGAACTCTCTGTAAATGCCTTTCTCTTATACCTCAGAGAAAATAACCATCTGGTTCCCTCAGCTTTTTCATGACATCTACAGGCATAGAGATGTTGGCTCTTGTTAGAACAGAAGGAAAGATCTCAAGTCTCAGGAGAGGGCAGCTTCTATGCAGCGTCGACATTCTCTGTCTTGCCATGTTCTGTGTCGCCTTTCAGCCTCTTTTCTAGGCTCTTTACATGGACATTTGCCCATGCTCTCTTCTCTTATGCACTGGTTCTGTCTTTAAAAACAAAACACCCCAGGAAAAATCCTATACTTTTTTCTCTGTGCTCTTCTTCCCTCTGAAGAATGACTGTCCCCAAGAAGCTCACACCTTTCAGTTAGCATCACCTGCTGTCTGGCTTTTTCCATACATATTGCTAAGGTGACTGAGTTTACACAGTGTCCTATAAAATTAAGAAGTACTTATATGATACGTGTTCTGCTTCCAGCTCTTGTGTCTGGATCTATTCTATGACTGTATTTGAACGACCCTATAGATTATATATTTTCTGCAGAGGTTGGCATCCCAGGAGAGAAGTCAGCTCCCATGACGTGCTGGCATAACATAGGCTGGCAGCTGCTCATGGTCACAGAAGATAAACGAGAAGATTCAAAGTCACAGACGTTTGAGCCCACATTTAACAGATACATCCGCTCACACAGCCACGCCTCCTCCTTCATTTCTCCACCACAGCTTATTCTGGCTCACACTTTCACAGGTCTGGTTCGTGATTGCTCGGCTCCTTTGCTTCTGTGCTGTGGTTAGGTGGAGTAGAGCTGCTCAATTTATGTCGAGCAGAAGCCCAGAAGAGAAGGGGCTGAATACTAGTGACCTCACAGTGGCCTGCTGTCTTCCAGCCACACCCCCTCTTAGCACCTCTGTAACAGTGCTCTTAGGTAGCTGTTTGCATAAAACGTGGGAGCAGTTATAGATATTTCAGTTTTTTCCACACTTAGTGCACTTAGCTTGCAGATGTGTCTCAGATCTGCCTGTTTCTTTGTGTCTACATTTGTGTGAACCACATCGTGTCTTGCCTCCTGGGGGAAACCTCCTGGGAAGAGTTTCCCCTTCCACTTTCCCCACCTCCAAGTCCTTTGCTTGGAAGAGGTGGATCGTTAAAAGGAGCTTGAGATCGTCCAGTGGCATCCATCGCCAGGCGTCGTGACTGCAGCATGCGCTGTCCTCTGCCGTCCCTCCGTTCTTTCTCTTCCCTCCAGCCACACTTCCCCTCTGACATTTGCTGGCATAGGCAATGTTTCTTTTTGCTGTATCCCGTCCCTCTACTGGCTCCCGTTGCTCCTCATGTTCCTGATTTCTTCTCATCTTTCAGCACGTAGTATCATCGCTCTGAAGAAGCTCAGACTGAGCACATTCCCCCTCGTCATGAAGTCCTGCCACACTCGGCCCTCTCTTCTCCACGGGAAAGCACCACTAGAATTTGCACTTGCTCCTCCCTACTAATGAGCAGATTTCCTGAGGGCTCGGGCTTCTTATTCTTGTATACATATCACAGCCCAGGTGCTCACACAAGAAACTTTCCTGAGCTACAGGCTCTGGTAAGATGTCTTGGATGGGTCAGTGCCCATTTGGTACTTTGACTGCAGGATCCTCTGGGGTTGTTAATTCCTGTATCCCTCTTTTGTGACCATAGCTACTTGCCAGCCTCTGTTACACTGGCATGCTTTGCCAGAATAATTCTCGAGCATGTCAGCCTCTGCAGAGGATGTGTGTATTATGTATGGGTGTGTTCTGCAGCAGCAATAGGCGAGATCTGGAGAGAGGAGTTTTGAAAATGACACAAGTGTCATATTGTGTTGGAGGGGCACACAGAGACCACTGTGCATGTGTAGAGGTCAGAGAACAATTTGGGGAGTGAATTCTCACCTACCATGTGCATCTTCGGGATCAAACTGGTTGTTAGACTTGGTGGCAGGTACCTTTGCAGGCCCAAGTATCTAACTCATGGAAATTGTCTGTGAATTGGATCACCTGCTTCCTGAGATACACATGGGCCACCCCAGACCTTGTTGGGTGGCTCGGATTCCCTCCTCATGCCTGTTTGTGTGTCTGCTCCCTTCAGTGTGGTGCTGTCTAGCTTGTCACTGTTTCCCGTCACATGGGGCTAAATGTGGGACATTTGAAGTTAGCATTCAAAGTACTTAAACTGAGTGCCTTTGGAAGCTGGGCCCATTCTCTTTGTGCAAACTGTTCTGTTCCTTTGGGTCTGTGTACTCTAGCGCTTCTGCAGCTCAGCAGCAAACTTTTCAAGTGGGCGGGTAGCTTTCAGGCGTCCTTGTGTTTGAAGAGACATTTACATGTTTTATATTTACCTTGTATTATGAGTGTTAACTTTAGAAGGACTTTAGTGAGTGAGTGCAGAGGAGCCCTTGGTGAAAGTAAGACTCCCAAGGCCAGGACGCGTAGCTAACTGCGTTTGACGCCTGATTGTTCCCTTTAAGAATTCACCGTCTTCCCCTTTAGTTTAAGCTTGATTTTTTTTTCTTTTCCTTCCTTCCTTTTTTTTTTTGAGGAACTTTGTGAAAGGCAGATGACGTATTCTTGTGTAGTGCTCCATTTGTCCTCGGAATACTTCCAGATCTTAGGGTTGGGCTTTGAGAAAGCCACTGATAATTAGCATATACTGCTACCAAGTACGCTTTCCTTAGGTAAACAATCCTTTTATTTGCATTTTCAGCATTTTGTGGTCGTGAATAAAAAGTCCAAGTGTGTAGGTGTAAGACGTGTGTGAGACGGAGGTCAGAGTGCGTGTGCCCTGTCATCTGGACCCTCCCCGAGGCCAAGCACTTGGTCTCACTTTGGCTTGAATCTCCATGATTTTGTCCTGTTGCTTGAAAATGAATGTACCTTCCGCTCTCACGAGGGTGAGGAATTGTCAGTCACGGAGCAGACTCTTTGTATTTAGAAGAATATGCACAGTTTTGAGTCCTTTCCTTAATGTGGGCTGATTAGCAGTGCAGGAATGGAATTGAATTTTAGATTTCTGAGGAGGAGGTGATCTCAAACGGAAGTGTTCTGCAGCGGGGTCCCGGAGCCCTTGTTTGGCTGCTAGCCTGCATGCTGTTCATGGAGAGCTGTGGGCTGAGTTGCATTTCTCTGCCAGCTGCTTCAGCTCTCTTCCCTGAAGACAGTTCCAGACGTGTAGCTCTTTCATGTGTTATACAGCACCTTTAGTTATATGGCAGGATGAGGAAAAACAGTTAACTATGTTGTTCATTTTACTTCTGGGTGGAGGGCAAGAGGCAGATGAAATAGTATGTTTCCCTAACTCTGTGTTCTTTTGTTATTACTCTTGTTCTCTAGGCATTAAGTGTCACCGAAACCCTGATTAAACCCTTGGAAAAATTCCGAAAAGAACAACTCGGAGCGGTAAAGGTTTGTGTCTACTTTGAGCACACTTGTAAACAGAGCATGCTGGCGCCTTTGCTGTTGCTGCTGTCTGTATTCACATTTGGCAGAGTGAAGGGCATGCTGGGATAGACCATCTGTTGTTTATGTTTTCAATGCACTTTTCCCCTTCGGGGAGGTGGAACTGAAAATAAAACAAAATACCTGCATGGGTAGTAAAATACCTAGTAATCTTTGACCAAACTTTGCAGGGGGCTTAAATCTCTCAGGCAGAGCTCCCCGGTAGTGGCAGGTGTGTGTGTGTGTTTGCCCACAGCAGTCACAGGTGTTTGTCTGTGCCCACAGCAGTCGCGTGTGTGTGTCCGTGGCAGTCACAGGTGTGTGTGTTTGTGTGTGTGTCTCCGTGGCAGTCACACTCGTGTGTGTGTATGTGTGTGCCCGCGACAGTCGCAGGGGTGTGTGTGAGGATTCTGACTGTGCCTAGGCATTGATTAGGGGCTCTGTTCCCACATGATGCCGTGGAAACCAGGGAGAGTCATTGTTATTGGGATGTGATTTACTTGACTCTAGCAGAAATCGATTGAGCTTCTATTATGTGTAAGTATTTATTGTCATAGTGACCTACAGCCTCTCATTCAAGGGTTTGGGATGTAGCCAAGACTTCCTGGAATCATACATCAAGCCGCTTTACCACAGTGGGACCTGAATATGTTTAGCAACTTCTAAAGTTTGTGATCTCAGCCTTGAAGTTAACCCAGAGAAATAATTTCTACCACTCTCTTTCTTTTTCTTTTTTAATGTGAGGGAGGAGAAGTACCATTTTGTGTGTTGTTGACCGTTCTTGTTCTAGAAGCGAGTCATACATTTTAAGTAGGGAAGAGAACTTTCTCTCTCTCTCTCTCTCTTTTTTTTTTTTTTTGATGTGAGCCTAGCCTTTAATGGCTGAGTTATCCCTCCAACCCGGAAGGGAACTTTCGTGTTTGTCACTTTGCATAGAAAAAATGTCAGAATTCTTTGGTACAAATGGATTTTGTGCCCACTAGCACAGCTGGACCCGACCCGCTCCATCCAGTATTCCTCCTTTGAAGCAGTTTGTTGGATTAGTTGCTATTTCTCTTTGGTCCCCCCATACTTGACAGAGACACTGTAAGTTGAGGGTAGTGGTGTCTGTAAGGGTGCCCCGTCCCTTCTCCTGGCAGGTGAGCTGCAGCAGCAGGTGATTGGACGCCCCTTTCTGCTCAAGGACACATCCTTGCCTTATCTGTGGTGCGAAGGGCCTGGTGTCCTTTGGTTTGGTTTTTCTCCGATGTGTCTTCTCTTGGGAAGCTTGATCATGCTTCTGTTTCATAGGCAGGCACTTCGTGAGACAGCATTCATTTCATGCTTCAGTCAGAAGGTGGGGGGGGGGAAGAACTATATTGCCTTAGGGTGTGAGTGATTAGCTAATAAACAGCTTTATGTTTTCATTGTCCACTTAGTTCTCTAGGTTTTGAACATCTTTCTCCTGTTGACCATTAGCAGAATCTTTTCTCATTACCTTTCCTGGTGCCAGGTTTCCTTCATGTTCGATGTTGTTTGTTCAGAAAAGTAATTTGCAAAATAAATGGCCCCTTAAAGGGAAGATTACTGCATGTAGTGTGTGACTCAGGCTCGTAGTGACCAAATGCTGTCCAGAAGGCCCTCGTCTCTGCAATTTCCCCGTGTTTCCTGCAGCAGGTTTTGGAGGATTTAGCTACATTTTTGGTGCATAGTATGTGGAGTTGCTGTCTTGTCTGTTGATGTCCCTGGAGAAACATAGTAAGTAGAAATTGCTGCCTGTTGCAGTAGGAGCGGCGGGGCTGCGTCCTGGCACACGGCCGCCCGCGTGGCTAGCTTATGCCCAGAAATAATTACACGGAAACTGTATTCTTTCAAACACTGCCTGGCCCGGCTAGTTTCAGTTTCTTATTGGCTAGCTCTTACATATTGTTCTAACCCATTTCTAATATTCTGTGTAGCCCACGAGCTGGCTTACCAGGGAGGATCTTAATCTGTGTCTGTCTGGAGCGGGAGAATCATGGCGACTCCCTTACTCAGCTTCTTTTTCTCAGAATTCTCTTCTGTCTACTCCGCCTACCTAATTTTCTGTCCTATGAGGGCCGAGGCAGTTTCTTTATTATTAACTAATGAAAGCAACAGATAAGATACAAGACCCACCTCCATCAGCTGCCTCTCTACCGTGGTAATAGAGAGGTGGCTCCTCTTGCATTACCTTGTTAAGTCTTTCAAAGACTGCTAACCTTCTCTAACCTCTAGAGTCCTCCACCTTGCCTTACTGTAGAAGGTGTCTAGGAAAGAGCTTATCTGGTTAATAATAATTCTGTAATTACCAAAGAAGAACTTGGAGTTTAGATACTTGCACATGTGCGTGCGTGTGTGCCAGTGTGCTCGTGTGTGTCCCTGAGCGTGTGCACGTGTGTCCCTCTGTCTGTGTGTCTGCTATTGGACACCCGGCCCTGTTTTGACAAAGCACAAACTTGTGTTCCTTTGATTAGTGTGCTCACACGGGACTTTAAAAAGACTTTCGCCTCTTAGTTGGAAGTCTTTTTGGCCATCACCACCCAACAGTTTTCACGTGGAGATAAAATCAGCACATTTACAAGCTGACCACTTCAGAGTTTTCAGATACCAGCGTCAGCTTTGGCCTTTCTCTCCTGGCTCTTTTTCCCATGTGTTGATTTCACCCCGTTGGCTTTTCTGTGGCGCTCTTGATTCCCTCTGTGCCTGCATCCTCTAGTTTCCAGAAGCCTAATTATAAGTCTGACTGTGGTGGAAGTGTAATCTAAGTTGCTCCGTGGTTTTTGTAAATTGGGCTTTTAAAACCCTCCAAGGTACTCCTGATGATCTTGTTCTGTTTTGATGTGCCTGCCTTGAGTCATGTCTGCTGGGTTTGGGCTTGTTTCTGTTTTGAAGATTCTTCTGTGTTTCCTTCTGTGCCTGCTGGAATCAGGACCTTGTGGGCTGGTGCTTTGGGCTGTGCCGCAGTACTGTTGGGAGTTTACGTCAAAGCTTACTTCATTTCTTAGCTCATTCTCATCCTCTTTCCTTTTTTCTGCATGATGTTGGCACTTATTTTGCAGTGTCTCCCAGCCCCGTTAAAGCTTTGCTCATTTGGGGCAAAAGCACATTGAGTAAAATGTGCAGGTCCCAGCGGGAGAATCTGAATCGCTTTCTCAGGCCCCTTACCAGCCAGGTGATAGTGCGAGCCTGGGTCTAGAACATAGCAGCCATGTGTAAGTGTTACACAGATGCCACTAAACTGTCGTGACAGATTTTCAGATGACCTCAGAACAGAGTTTGATATTACCCAGTAGACCCAAACATTTCAACACAGTACTTGAAACAAATGTCTTTTTAAAATACATCATGACTTCTCCCTTCAGCCCAGGACCTAGCTTGGAGTCACATTTTAAAACCATTTCTTTCCTAGAGTATGTCTAATGAGTAGTCTTAATAACAGCCGACTGGCCCGGACTTTGTAAACAATGGCAGGACATGAGCAGAACCGAGCCTTCCCGAGCAGCTTATGTCAAGAAGTTTGGTAAAGCGAAGTGTTGCTTTGATTTAATCCTGGTACTTTCCCTTTAGTTATGGAGCACATACCTGTGCCTCTCACATGTGGGACATGTCACATGTCACACGCCAGTCTGTGGCAGAGTAAGAAGTGGGGGGTCGGTGGGGATGAGCTGTGGAAAGTGGGCTGTGCTGAGCCGAGGTCTGGGAGCTACCCCCACTGGCTCTGAACAGGGTCAGCCCTATCGGGAGACCGCTTTGTGCCATCAGAATTCTTCCAGTGCCCGAGTGAACTGCGTCCTATCCCTCAGTTTCCCGGTCTGTCTCCGAGGGTGGTTTAGAGAATTAGAGGATGCTGAAGTACCACAGATGTCAGTTTGGGGCCTGATGTGTGTTTGCCGTCATGTTGTCACCCTGCTTGGGGCTTGCTCTCCCTTGACTGTGATTGCCCAGCTGTGGCACGAGTTAGGTGATCTACAGCAAGTGTTTACGTGTTGTGTGTGGCTCTGGCCAGTGTTGGTGCCCTGCAATACCATCTGACTTGTTCACTTGTCCTCAGATGCTGCCTTGTTCATGCTGGATGAGGAGCCAAGCATTGGACTGTGTGGGAGGAAAAGCTGAATTCTCTTCTCTTTAGAAAGGCTAAAGCAGAGGCAGTTGAAGGAGGATTGTAATTGGGCTGGGTAGCTCATTGGGATGCCATGTTGAACACAGGGCAGGAGTTAAGGGCAGTGCCCCCCTCAGTGGGGAGGGAGTGCTTCCTGGAAATGGGTGTGACTAGGAAGCAGGTACACACACACACATGCACACCCCTCAGAGTGGGGAGGGGAGTGCTTCCTCGAAATGGGTGTGACCCGGTAGTAGGTTCACATGCACACACACACAAACACACACACACACACTTCAGTGTGGGGAGGGGAGTGCTTCCTGGAAATGATTGTTACCAGGAACTAGGTTCACATATACACACACACACATGCACACACAAACACACAAACACACCTCAGAGTGGGGGAGGGGAGTGCTTCCTGGAAATGGGTCTGACTGGGCAGTAGGTTCACACACACACACACACACACACTCACACACACACACACCTCAGTGTGGGGAGGGAAGTGCTTCCTGGAAATGGGCGTGACTTAGAAGTAGGTTCACATGCATGCACGCGCGCACACACACCCCTCAGAGTGGGGAGAGGAATGCCTCCTGGAAATGGGTGTGACTGGGCAGTAGGTTCACACACACACACACACACACTTCAGTGTGGGGAGGGGCGTGCTTCCTGGAAATGGGTCTGACCAGGCAGTAGCATCCTGGTGGAGCACAGAACTTGGGGACAGAGCCAGCAGGACTTCCTAGTGAGGGTCGGGCCCTGTGAAGGATGTTGAGAGCCTTAGTAACTGCTGCTGTCTTCGGGGCCTTGGTTCCTGTGCAGAGTGTTAGTTCTCTTCCTCATTCAGATAAAAAGAGAAGAGGCGTTAAATTCTCCAGACTACTCAGATGTTGAACATTATTTCATGCTTATGGCTGCAAAGGAAAACCTTTTTGTTTTCCAAGAAAAGTTGTAAAATGCAGATAACTACACAAAGATGGCCATGGTAAAGTAAGTGTAATGATAGAAAAAATCTTCCCTTTTCCACAGCAAAACCATGCTACAGTTTACAAATACGTTCATATTTTTGTGATTTTTTTTTCCTTTTTCATGGAAATGTAAAGTGATAAAATGAAGTGAGAATTTTTATTTCTTTCCAACACTGGCTGCTGTTTCCCTTGTGTTGTGTACCCCTTCATCTGGAGGATTGTACAGTGTGTACCCCTTCAGCTGGAGGATTGTACAGTGTGTACCCCTTCATCTGGAGGATTGTACAGTGTGTACCCCTTCAGGTGGAGGATTGTACAGTGTGTACCCCTTCAGGTGGAGGATTGTACAGTGTGTACCCCTTCAGGTGGAGGATTGTACAGTGTGTACCCCTTCAGCTGGAGGATTGTACAGAGTTTTGAAATCTAGAGAATCTCCTTGGGCTTCTGCTACTTGTTTTGCTTAGATGATCTTTGTTTTACTTTGAGATCTGATGGCAATCTCTTTATTATAGCTTCATTTATAACTCGTGACTCAGCGCATCTGGAATAGATTTTGACATGGGTGGGGTTCTGTTTCTCAGATAAACAGTTGCACTAATCCCACTAGTTAAATAGTGCATTTTTACAATGGTATGCTTTCTGCAGGGCACCTTTGTACATATTTTACTTTTTTATTTTTTCTGAGACAGGGTTTCTCTGTGTAGCCCTGCCTGTCTTGCAACTCGTTCTGTAGACCAGGCTGGCCTCGAACTCACAGAGATCCACCTGCCTCTGCCTCCTGAGTGCTGGGAATAAGGTGTACACTACCATTGCCTGGCTATAATTTACTTTTTAATAACATTTAAGAGTTCTGCTAATTTGAGTTGTGTGTCTTAGGTTCATGAATTTCCTCTTCTATTTCTACATTTATATTGTAGAAATATAATTTTCTTATTTTTTCCCTCACTACTATTTTAAGTCATATCTTTACTTTTTTTTACATGTTCAATTTTATGACAGGTTATCTTGTGAGCCATATTTAATCTGTAAACTGTTTACTTGGCTTAGTGAGTTTTATAAAAACATGTTGAGATTTTCTTTTTTCAGCTGTTTAACAGAAGAGCTGACATATGTGGCTGGCTTGTGTCTCACAGGGAGACAAGCTCAGGTCTGTTGCGATAGTTTTGTGGAGGGCCAGTGCCCAGCCTTGAGGACTGTCTGGCCTGCTAAAGCCCAGCCAGTCATACCTACCAACTGACCCAGTACTACCGACTGACCCAGACTCTCCTGAGTTCAGAAGGTCTGCTTGCTAAGAGGCAGTTGCTTCTTGCAGTTCATTTGAACTACAGGACTGTGCTGCGCGTTTGTATATTTGTGTCCTATCTGCAGCTCCTGGCTGCAGTCCTTAAGGCTCGGATAATTTTAGCTCTAGAAATGAAGTGAGCACAAAGGAACAAGTGTGCTACAGCCGCATGCAGAATGAACGCAGGGAGAAGTCACTGGTTCTCTCTTGGAGAGTCCTGAGTAGCGGCAGCGCCTGGGCAGGGCAAGGCACGCTGCCAGCCTGAGTGGTTCAGAGGTTCCCAGATAAGACAGTTAAGAAAGCTTTGTTCTGCCATATTCTTTCATCCCAGCTTTACCTCCACGTTAGTTCACATACCCACTGTTGCTGAGTGTGTGTGCTGGGGGTTTTGGCTGCTGAATCCAGTTCTGTGATTTGGATGGAATCATATAAGCAAGTAAAACTTTTCTGAGTCTTCGTCTTCAGGCAGCTTCATTTGTTCAAACAAGATATTACCACCTTCCCCCTTTTTTTTGTCTAAAAATTAAAAAAGGCTATAACTAACATAAAATTATATACAGTAAGTACAATAGTTATATACCATATATACAGGCAATGAATACATCAACAGTGTCTAGTCTATTAATAATCCATAAATTCAGAGAAAATACTCCATATTTATCCTATTTTGGTGATTCCAAAAGTTGTAACTAATTCACTTGCTATTCTAACTTGCATATCTTATATGTCTCTCAACCTTACACACTTTACACCTCTTAAGTGAGTTTTTTTTTCTGAATCTGGTAACAAGGAAAACTATAACTGTGAAGTTCTTAACTCCCTCGGAGACCCAAGATGGGAATAATATTACCCAACTAAGCAGGAAGTTCAAGCAAGTGACTTCCAAAAAAATGTGAACTGACAAACAGCTGGTTGCCTGGACAGTCACTCAGGTTTCCCCTGGAACCCATATTTGGCCTATAGGCCTAGCATATCTGACAGACTTTTCTGTGAAACAGGATATTCTAAAGGGCTGTCCTATCTTGTCTTGGCAGAGTTTGGCAGTCCTTTCTTTTGTATCCTGCTTATCCAGTTTGTACAGTAGACTGTCAGCAGTTGAGGCAAGAGCACTTTTTACCAGGGGCTAACCTTTGCCACAGAGAAAGTAAACTCCACGTGGAGTTTCTTTGATGCCCATCATCTTCTCTGCGGTAGATTGTTGCTGCCAGTAGCAAACCTGTCTCACTGCCATTAAAAAGAAAAGAACCTGTGTTATTAAAACATCTTAAATACCATATTCTGTAGATCTCTTACGTGTTTAGAGATGACCTGTCTAATATATCTGTTTGACCTTGAGAACATACCTAATACAACTTCAAGTTCAGTTGTAATAGGTGACTAATTGCTAACCTGCGTTTTCTTATTATCTTAATTAGTTGGGGTAATAATAACTTTCAGGGGCTAGAAATGTCTATCTAGCTAAATGATTTGCACAGGTGCTATACCTTGAACAAAATTAGAAATGTACATAAAGAGTATCTTCTAACAAAAATAGTCTCAACTTTGTATCAGTATACAAAAGAGGTTACTCCTTATGATGGAGTTGTGCACAGTGGACGCGCTGTGGTAAAGGCAGAGGCAGGCCTGCCCTTGCTGTCTAAGTGGAGAGACGGGTCCTGAGAGAGTGGTATGACTGTCCTGCAGGTCCGCAACACGCTGTGGACAGGACCCACCCACGCCCTGATACACTCTCCATCCTGTCAGCTTTCTCAGTGGGGGATGACGAGAAGGCAGTGATGTGGCTTGGGCTGTATTTCCTGCTGTTAAAATAGTTGAGAAGCATAGGGGAAACAAAAGATGCTAACCAGCTGTGACTGGACTCAGCACCTTGTACTTACAGAAATGCTGTACACTGAGAAAAACTACTTAGGGCATAAAGACTGTTTCTGCTTCATCATAGGAGCGACAAGTTCAAGATGCTAAAGGAAAGCCACCTGTTTCTTGCTTTGTCCTTTACAACCCATGGACCATGGGTTCTCCACAGATGAGTCACAGCAAAACATTTCCAGATCATTCTGAAGAATAGCTAGGCTCTCCTTGTCGCACATTTGGGAAGGTTATTATTTTACTTTATACGCATGGGTGTTCTGTGTACATGTACGTCTGTGCTCCGTGTGTGTGCAGTGCTCACAGACTACAAAAGGGCACCAGATCCCCTGGGACTGGAGTTGCAGACCACTGTGAGCCTCTGTTTGGATTCTGGTTCCTTTCCTAGCAGTGAAATTTTTGTTTTAAGGCTTTTCATGTTGGTAATTAGAATTGGGAAGAAACACCAATTCCCGAATCTCTTCTTCATCAGTGTGGGGATGAATCTGCGATCTTCAGTGTTGCCACAGAGGCTGTGCTGTCCTAGGCTTCCAGAACTCGTAGTTCCATGCAGTGGGAACATGCATGACGGGATGCAGAAAACACCTTCCTTCCTTCCTTCCTTCCTCCCCTCCCCTCCCCTCCCCTCCCTCCTTCCTTTCTTCCTTCTGAGAGAAAAGTCTAGGGTAGTTCACTATCTTTGATTTAGAAAAAAGCAGAAAATAAGGACGGAGATGTGCCTGGGGTGTGGTGGGAGACGAGGGACTCTAATGTGGATGGACAGATAGACTTTTCCCATCACAAAGTCATTTAAAATCGGCTTAAAGTGTTTGGTAGAGGTGGATTGAGCTGAGCAGGAGCTGCTCTGCCATCTTCACCCACAGAAAATGGGTTGCTTCTATTTCCAAATGCCTGCATAGCAAAAGCCAAGTAAATTCTAACTCTAGGCAGTCCCTGAGAAGTGTGTGCAGCCAAGCAGATTGCTCTGAGTATGTCAGTATTGTGTTGAGGTCTGTTGACCACTGATGCCGTGCTAAGAGGCTTGGGAAACTCGGTAGCAGTTCTGGGCCGAGCATTGTTATATCCCAACTGGATTGTTGGCGACTCTCCTCCCCGAGATGTTCTAGATGATCATGAGTAAAAATGTGTATAGAAAACTTACTCCGTCTAACGTGAGAAAGCTTGTTCTTGAAGCTCCACCTTTTGTGTGTTTTCCTTATTTGTGAGACAAGAGGGAGATGACATGATTTAACTCAAGTGGGTATGCAGAGTCGAAAGTCGTGACAGGTTGGGAAGAAATCGTGAGAAGTCTCTTCGTGGTCCCAGTGCCGACTCTGATTGACAGCAGGGGCTTGGGACAGGAGGCCTTGCCTCCCGGTGTCTTCACATCTCCTTGCTTTACTTTTAGCCGTTTTTCATATTTTTGGCCTCCAGCAGATTTAACTGTGCATGTGATTTATGTGGTATGTATAATCACCGTTGCCTGGTTTTTATTTGTAGGAAGAGAAGAAGAAGTTTGACAAAGAGACGGAAAAGAATTACAGTCTGATTGATAAACACTTGACTCTATCTGCCAGGAAGAAAGACTCACATTTACAAGAGGTATTCTTTTCACGTTTCTTTTAACATGTGCAGTACACCTGAGATTGACAGACACAGGGAGTGCAGATACCGCAGCGAATTAAGAATAGAGTTCTGTGAAATGAGGCAGCAGTGAATATACCTTATAGTATTGGTTAAGCATCGGTTCATAGTAGTAAATTTTAGACTCTTGAGTTTTTCACAGGAGCAACGTTAGTCAGGATGATAAAGAATTTATACAGGCAGGCATTGTGGTGCATGCCTTTCATCCCAGCACCCAGGAAGGAAAGGAAGGTAGATCTCTGTGAGTTTGAAGCCAGCCTTGTCTACAGAGTGAGTTCCAGGACTACACAGAGAAACCCTGTTTCTAAAAACTAAAAAAAAATGACCTCCGCAAACAAGCCCCCCACATACTTTTTTGCAGGGATAGCCCTGCTCTTGGGTTTCAGTCTCCTTGATGAGCGGAACTGAATGAGCTCACACACTGTTTTCTCTATGTGCTAGCAGCATTAATCTAAGTGGACACTGAGCTTGGGAGGTTCTTGTTGGCCGAGCGGATCTGTTCTACTTAAGTTATTAGACACGTTGTTTTGAATGCAGTATGTAAGCAGAAAGGAATTTGTATCTTACCTCTCATTTTCCCCATTTCTTTCTAAATTTCTCGACTGTTTTTCCTCCCTCTCCATAGGCTTGACTAGAAACTTCAGTTATTTACAATATGGAATATAGACTTTTACAAGATTTCCTTTAATTTTTAAAATAATACACATACAGTATTTTATGTATGTGTGTGTGTGTGTGGGGGGGGGGTGATGTGTACACATGCGTGCAGGTGTCCACAGAGGCAGAAGAGAGCGACAGGTCCTCTGGGCTGGAGTGACAGGTGGTTGTGAACTGCCTTAAGGAAGTGCTCGGAACCGAACTTACGCAGGAACAGTATGCACTTCCTTTTCAGATAAAATCGTTCTTTATCCTGGAGAACACATGAACACATGTGCACACCCGCACACACAGACCCACTCCCACCTCACCATACACCCCTGACATCTCACACACACACACACACACACACACACACACACACACACACACACACACACACACACTCATCTACACTCTATCTTCACCCAGCTACCGAGGACCTCAATACCTTCCTGTAAACACCTAGCGTCTCTTCAGCCCCACATCATGGATTTTATTAGCAATGATGTGCTATGCAGTTGAGGACTGTGGCTTACCAACAGAAGTATCAAACTGCCTTCCCTCCGTTTGTTTGTGTTTGAGCTCACGTGAGCCTGGGCATCATGTTCTACTATGTATGTACCTGCTGACATGTCATCTAAATGATACAGTGTAAAACCCCGCTTGTGTGCTTTACTTAGAGACTGTGTGTGTGCATGCATTGTCGGTTTGACTCTACAGGTGACATTTTCTTTTGTGTTTCTTATACCTTTGACATTTGGTTGACATTTAATACTTTATAAAGAGAAAATAGCTTTTATGTTACTTAATCCTCACTACAATGCTTGAGGCACAGGACTTTGCTCTCTCCTTGTTATAGTCGACATAGAGGCCCTGCAGCGGCTCCCCCACCCCCATGCCCTGAGTCTGTTCTGCAAGGACAGCAGCTGTTCTTTTTTACCCCTCTTCATTTTTCCACTTTCAATCATTTTAGAGACGATTTATATGCCTCCAGCCAGTTTCCACCTCCACGTCACTCTGATTAGCCACCTGTCCCTAATGTCCTTGTGTACGGTGTAGGAGGGCATCCTCGGCTCCCACACCCCACCCTCGTCCATCAGCATGCCACCCCTTCTCATGCCCCCTTTCCAGAAGCCTGGGACCCAGGCCCCATGTGCTCTGCACTGCCCACTCAGGACCAGCAGTTTCTTGCTGGGGCTCTTTGCATTTCTTCTTCCTGCTGCTTAGAATGGTGTTTTTATTTTATTAATATGGTGTATTGGTAATTGGAGTTAGGTCTAATACACACCAGGCACACACTTTACTACTGAGCACACCCTAACTCCTGTCCACTGTGTTCCAACCCAGACCCACTTGTCTGCCTCCTTCAGATACTGTCCCTGAACCATTTACTCAGGGCTTGTGGTAGAAAACCTTCCTTCCGGCTGTCTGTTAAGATGCCCTTCCGCTGACCGACTGTTATCTTTTTACTCCTCCTATGTATTGTTGCATGGCTTCTTTCAATGGTTGTGAGCCCTCTGAAGGCTGCAATCTTGCTTAAATTCAGTCCCTGTCTGCTGAGATTAGTACCTGTCAGCCTGAGTAGTTTGACAGTGTCCCTAATCCCAAAGACCATTAAACTGTGAGTCTTGAATTTGAAGAGGCCCCAAAGATGAGTGCATTCAATTCCATTTCAATTGAGCATTTTTTCTCTCTTGTTCTGTGCACTCTTTATAAACAATAGGTTCCCAACCTTCTTGCAAGCACGTACACATCAAAAGGAGGAGGCATCTAAAGAGGAAAAAGTTTGATCTTGGATGCTCCTTGCTTTTCTCAGCTGCTCATGTGTGGCTGATCTTGAGTGAATTGTCTTTAGCTCAAGATTAATTAATTAAGGTTGCTAGGTATGACCCTGAGCAGAGGGACAGAAAAGATGTGGGTGTCATTCTCAGTTCTTGTTTAAAGAACAGAGTCTTGTAGTGTGTTCACACCGTGCTGACTACTATTGTTGTAATGTGTTCACACTGTGCTGACCACTGTTGTTGTAGTGTGTTCACACTGTGCTGACCACTGTTGTTGTAGTGTGTTCACACCGTGCTGACTACTTTTGTAAAAGCGTTCATTCTGTACCCCTAAGTATAACTGGAGTATTGTGGTATTGTAAGCTGTGAGCCAACTGTGACCCGGAGACTGTGGTGGCCCGGTGGTTTCTGCATTTCCAGTGGGCTAAAGTAGGTGGCGGAAGGCAGCCAACACCGTGAGGGGAGTAGCGCAGGCAGAGCAACTGGAGGTCGAGCCTATCTGCATGTAGTAATCCCCAGTGATGGTAACGTGCAGCAATCGCCCCTTTGCGCTCTGAGGTTTCTTAACTGCTCAACACGATTTCAGGGTTTCAGCTGTGGCTTATGCTGTTGGCTGTGGATAACCAAACTGATCACTGGAAACATACAGTCAAGAGTTTTTAGGTAGAAACTCTCATTTTGGTAACTTTACGTTTACACTTTATGTAAAGTATTTTAACTAACTACTAGACAAACATTAAGTGTGCTTTTAGACCCTTCTGAAGTCTGTTGTAGACTTCTGTTGATCTTGGCCTCTTGAGCTGTACAAGGTCGTTGACTCCTTGCTTCACTTGGCTGTGCAGCCATCCCCACCCTTCTCCAGAGTGTGAAGAAACCCTTTCGTGAAGCTGTAGGTCTCCCAAGGCTTCCTGCAGAACCACCATTCTTTCTGTCACTCTGCCTGGCTAGTTCAGGTGTTTCATATGTTTGGAGTTCCTGCTTTTGTGTCTTCATTGCATTACGAGGCCTAACAGTTCACCCATGCTGGCAATATTGCCATGATTTGTCTCTCTCCTTCCTTCCATTCCTTCCTCCCAGCGTGGAGTTAAGTGGAGTTTCGCAGCCTGCTGGTGGCAGGCCGACCTCATCCTTAGAGGGCTTGCTCATGCGAGTGTTGGTGGGACCTTTGACCCACTTCCATGAGGAAGTGGAATCCGTAATCTTCAGTCTTTGGGGGTCATGACACTTTAGAGTCCAGGGAGGATCATTTTTACTTCCGTGTATGCTCCTGTGGCAGGAGAGTATCCGTGAGTGAGTCATGAGCGACCAGTCACATGTTCTAAAACAAGTTTATGAACGCAGTGCCCGGGGGTTGGAGTTCATTGACCTGTGCTCTTGGGTTTGATGGCTCCCTGTCCTGGCTCAGCTAACAGCGGCTGTTTTAATACAGGCAGATCTCCAAGTGGAGCAGACCCGGCAGCACTTCTACGAACTCTCTCTGGAATATGTGTGCAAGCTACAGGAGATTCAAGAGAGAAAGAAGTTTGAGTTTGTGGAACCTGTGAGTAGCAGAGCAAGCTTTGCTCTGGGTCCCTGTGAACAGTGAGAGACGGAGCGAGGCTTGGAGCGGGTGCACACAGCTAGTCACAGTGTGTGCATATGATGGAGTGGGTGCACACAGCTAGTCACAGTGTGTGCATATGATGGAGTGGGTGCACACAGCTAGTCACAGTGTGTGCATATGATGGAACGGGTGCACACAGCTAGTCACAGTGTGTGCATATGATGGAGCGGGTGCACACAGCTAGTCACAGTGTGTGCATATGATGGAGCGGGTGCACACAGCTAGTCACAGTGTGTGCATATGATGGAGCGGGTGCACACAGCTAGTCACAGTGTGTGCATATGATGGAGCGGGTGCACACAGCTAGTCACAGTGTGTGCATATGATGGAGCGGGTGCACACAGCTAGTCACAGTGTGTGCATATGATGGAGCGGGTGCACACAGCTAGTCACAGTGTGTGCATATGATGGAGCGGGTGCACACAGCTAGTCACAGTGTGTGCATATGATGGAGCGGGTGCACACAGCTAGTCACAGTGTGTGCATATGATGGAGCGGGTGCACACAGCTAGTCACAGTGTGTGCATGGGAACAGTAAGAGATAGAGCGAGGTTTGGAGCAGGTGCACACAGCTAGTCACAGTGTGTGCATGTGAACTGTGAGAGACAGTGAGGCTTGGAGCGGGTGCACACAGCTAGTCACAGTGGGTCCGTGTGAACAGTAAGAGATAGAGCGAGGTTTGGAGCAGGTGCACACAGCTAGTCACAGTGTGTGCATGTGAACTGTGAGAGACAGAGCGAGGCTTGGAGCGGGTGCACACAGCTAGTCACAGTGGGTCCGTGTGAACAGTAAGAGATAGAGCGAGGTTTGGAGCAGGTGCACACAGCTAGTCACAGTGTGTGCATATGATGGAGCGGGTGCACACAGCTAGTCACAGTGTGTGCATGGGAACAGTAAGAGACTGAGCGAGGTTTGGAGCGGGTACACAGAGGTAGTTGCAGTCTAGGCGAGCATCTAGAGGAGGGGGAGGCCTTGTCCGCACAGCCCCTGTGAGGGGCACTTGCCGTGCGTGGTCTCCCGCACTGCAGCTGACAACAGATTCTGTCGTCATCCGCTGCTGCAGCGAGTGTAACCAACAGAGCTAATGCTCATGCGATACCAGTTTTCAGTGTCTTTAAAATGAGCTGGCTTGTTTAAACATGCTTTTGTTTCAAATATTTATCAGGATTTCAAAGTCTTTCTGTAGCTTTTGAAGCAGTTTTGTGAACGGCTAACACTAGTTTTTAAATCTATTTTTAGCTTTATTTTCCGTATGGGTGCTTGTGTGGGTTTGTGCCTGTGAGGACAGGTGAGAGTGGAGGACGGAGGTGTCGGTCTCCCCGGAGCTGGGCTAGTAGGTGGGTTGTCATTCAACATGGGTGCTGGGAATTTAGCTTGATTCCTCTAGAAGAGCAGAATGTATTCACAGAGCCATGTTTCCAGCCCCTAGAAACACCGGTTTTGCTATTATATAGGTGCCTTCTAATAAGTTCAGTTACTTGCATATTAGTATGCATATAGAGGGTGTGGCTGTAAACCTCTTGATCAAGTATAGATGCCATTCCATACAATAGGTTTTAGCAAAAGATTGTCTGATAATTTTAATATAGACTGCATTCTTCCTTACTTTATTGAACTATACTTCAAATACTATAGTGGGTCTATTATGTTCATGGTGAGAAACAAAAGAATAATTAAAAATACTTAAAAAAAATAGGCAGCGGAATGATAGAATCAATGTGAATCAGTCAGAGAAAATTAAACCTTAAAGTGGTCCTTTCATGGTGAAATGGCTGTGGTGCACATCACTGTTGGTTATGACGTCAACTCTGGGTTGACATCATTGTTCTAAGTGCTGCCCTGTTCACCCTCGCTCCACACAGTGGCTCTAGCAGGCAGGCATGGAAGGGAGAACTTAGTGATTTTCCAGTGTCACCAAACAGTGACTGGCGGGTGTTGGTGCAGACTGACCGTTTGCATCAGCTCCTTCTTAGTGTGTATATCTTTCAGCACTCTGAAAAAAATCAGTTCAGGATTTTAAAATTCTGGGGCCTTCTGAGAAGGGGTAGGTTGGGGGCACTCCCTGAACACCTCTGCGACGGTACCTGGAAGCTGGAAGACGTTTGTGCTTGAACTGATTCGACCTCCCTGTGTGCTGGCTTTGCTACAGGGCTCAGGTTTCAGTTATCAGTGACCATCAGGACTCTCTTGACTAAGGAGGTGCAAGTGGATGACTTAGAATTGGTTGTTTTTGGAGAACATTGCATAAAGATTGTTTACTGATGCTGGTGTTTGTGAGCACCAACGTTCTGCATTTTCAGGACAGAGCCACGGATAGGTAATACGCACTTGTAATTAATGAAGTTCTCCTGACTTCTCGGAAACTCCTTCATATGAGTGAAAGGACAGACAGGGAGATGGTTGGGAGTTGCGTATGCTTCTTATTTTCTCTTTTGTTTTTGTTTTGGTGTGCACTAATGCTTCTTTCTCCTTTGTCTTAGATGCTGTCCTTTTTCCAGGGAATGTTCACTTTCTATCATCAGGGTCATGAACTTTCCAAAGACTTCAATCACTACAAAATGGAACTACAGATCAACATTCAGAATGTAAGGAAACGAAAGCCTTTGGCATTTAAAAGATGTTTGGGTTGTGCCTCTGTCTGTCTGCTGTCTGCGAAGCTTTAGGACCAGGCTGGTACTGAGAAAGTAGGGATTTGTTGCCACCCGGTGGTCAGATCTTGGTATAACAATCTTCTCTTTAGCTAATGGAGGCTAAAGAAATTCTCCCCTTTGGAGGCTCTTCCTGGGCTTTCTGGGGACAGGTCTCAAGGTAAACTTTGTTATGCTAACGCTGAATCATCTGTGTAAGAAACTGCTGTCCCAGCATTCCAGCTCGGCTCTGATGTTAATGTCAGTCATGTGTTTCCTTCCCAGACTGGCTTGTGGAATGGCGTCCCTACACTTGAGGCATGTTCACTAATGTGTTAATGTACTCGGCTACCATTTGCTTTCGTTGTCATCCTTTGTGGAATGTGTGCTTTCCGTCTGATCTTGGGAAATGAGATTTAGAGATCCTAAGATTCTCTTATGCTGAGACGATGGCTCTGTGACCCCGAGGAAGGACCTGAGTTTGAATCCCCAGAACCCACATAGAGCCATGTTTGGTAGCTGTGCCTGCAATACCAGTGTTCTTTCAGTAGGGGGAGGTGGAGAGCAGAGGACCTTTGGTTGTGGAATGGCTAGTCTGTGAATTCAGCGCAAACAGCCAGGGATCTTGTCTCCAGCCAGTTGGGGCCAATACTAAGGCCTTTCTCTGACTGTTGTTCCCTGCTCTGTGGTTTGCTAACCTCCACACGCATATGAACACATCCCCCCACCATCCTGTATGCTTCATTCATACGTACACTCAGACCTCCACACTCATGAACACACCCCCACCATCCTGTATGCTTCATTCATACGTACACTCAGACCTCCACACTCATGAACACACCCCCACCATCCTGTATGCTTCATTCATACGTACACTCAGAAAGCTAAGGGGAAAAGATTTTCTTTAGGAGACAAATGCTTCTTCTGGTTAAGACCTTTCTCATCAGTTGCGTTTTCATAGAAGAGCTAGTGAGAGTCTGTGGGGCCCGGTGTGACACACAGCACACACAGACGCACATGTGTGCGTCTGTGTGGTGTGGTTGTGTGCTTTAGAAGTTAGGTAGTAGAACTTGAAACAGACGTGCAAGTTTGTGTGTGCAGGTGTGTCCTAGTCCCCTCGGATTGCTGGTGTAGGTAGCAGAACCACTTTCTCTCTGTGTGAGGCCGACACCTGTGTCTAACTCAGTCGCTCTCTGCCCTGGCTTCAGAGACAGGGTCTGTCCTCAGGTGTGGAGCTCACTGGTGCTCTAAGGTGTCAGTCAGAGACCCCCCCAGCTCCACTTCTCCTGTCAATACCGTGATCCCTGCTGCCGCTGCCTACAAACATGGCGTCCACCTTCATGTGGGTGCGATTAGATTCACAGCGGATGCTTCCCTGACTTAGCCATTTCTCCAGCCCACTAGAATTTTTAATGAAATAATTTATTTTTCAGAGAATCTTGTGGGCTGTAAAAACAGTTTGTAAAAAAAGCACCAACTGAGAAGGTTAGATTATAAAATCACCCTTGCTCCCAAGTGGGTCTTTGTCTGCAGAATTAACCTCTTTTTTTCCAGACTTCATCTGTCAGCTTCAGGGCTGATCAGATGAGAATCCCTCGTTAGGGCTGGTGTGTGCTTTGTGGCTCTGATGTAAAGTGGAAGCCTAGGAGCCCACATTAGAAACAATGCGGACTTCCAAGATGGCGGATCACGTAGAGCTCAGTGCGGGGGGGGGGGGGGGGGTGTCCTGCTGTCATTCCAGAGCTTGGGAGGTGGAGGCAGGGGGATCAACCTGTGCAGTGAGTTTGAGACCTGCCCTAGGCAGCCCTCTCAACCCATCATATACTAGAACATGAACCTATAACGAGACCGTGTAGCACAGGCCATATATGACTGTTGCTGGCCACTTGCCCATGAAGCTGTCTGGATAACTCAGGCTCCGCTGTGCCACAGAAACACATCAGTCTTCTGGGATTTGCCCAAACTAGCCTCACATCTCTTGCTTATGGACAGAAGTACTTTTATAATGTATGTATGGGGAAGAGGAAGACCAGAGAGCTCTGTATACCAAAGTAAGTCAGACAGACCCAGCATTCCAGGAGACTGAGTCATGAGATAGTGGTGAGCAGAGCCCAAAGAGAGGCTTACTCTACAGATGTCACACAGTGACCTGGTACATGTGTTGATGAACTAAGACTGTACACATCTGATAACAACACTCAGTCTTTATTGTGGAGAAATGGGCAAGTAACTTTCTGGAGAGGGGACTTTTCTTCTCTGTCTGTAGGAACCCAAGGATACAGTCATCAGGGAACTGCCCCCATTCTCAGTCTCCAGTGTATTCCCCTGCCAGCTGGCTCTCTGAATATCTCTCTCTGTTTTGTTCTGGTTGTTTCTGAGGCTTTCTGAGTCCACTTATTGGTATGAAGTTTTTTTTTTTTTTACTGTTATAAAAATTATGGATTTTTACAGTGCAGCGATAGTATTTCTCTTTGTGTGTGTTTATGGAAGTGGAAGAGTGTGAGCGTGTATGTACGAGGGAGGGAGTATGTGTGTGGTACTGTGTATGAGTGTCTGTGTGTGTATTGCTTGTGTCTGCCTGCACAGAAGTCTTAGAAGGAGGCAGCTCCGAGCACCCTGGACCAGGTTGTGGGTTTCAGATGCTGCCGTCCATTGAAAGAAGCAGGGCTCCTTGGAGAAAGAGTGGCTCCTGGCCAGAGATCAGAGGATAAGGAGCTGGAGGATCGCATGTCTAGTAGCTACTGGACACCTGTATAACATCTGGGGCATCAGCACAAATGACCGGAGTTTTGCGTGTGAAGTCCCAGAGGATGCATGCATGCACGTAGACTTGTTTCTGTCCTACACGTGTGGAGGAAGTGAGGGAAGGAATCTCACCGAAACAATGAGTGAAATGAACTCGTGTGAAATCAGTACAAATAGACCCAGACATAGGAAATGCTGGAGGTGGGGAGAAAAAAGGGAACGTTTATTTATTTTTTATTTTAATTTATTAAAAAAAACCTATATTTTTCTCATTTTACATGCCAAATCCAGTTTCCACTCCCTTCTCTCCTCCTGCTCCCTCCATCTGCCCCTCACCCCTCCCTCTTCTCCCCACCCCTCCCCCATCCACTTAGAGAGGGTAAGGCTTCCCATGGGGAGTCAACAAAGTCCAGCACATTGCTTGGAGGCAGAACCAAGACCCTCCCCCACTATATCTAGGCTGTGCAAGGTATCCCTCCAAAGAGAATGGGTTCCAAAAAGCCAGAACAAGCAGTAGGGGTAAATCCTGGTCTCACTGCCAGTGACCCCACAGTCTGCCCCGGGCATATAACTGTCACCCATGTTCAGAGGGCCTAATTTGGTCCTATGATGGTCCCCGGCTGTCAGGCCAGAGTCAGTGAGGTCACGCTAACAAGCTCAGGTCAGCTGTTGCAGTGGGTGTCCCTGTCATATGACCCCTTTGCTCAAATTCTCACTCCTCCCACTCCTCAGCCCAATGCTCCACTGTGGTTCTCTACCTCTGCTTCCATCAGTTGCTGGATGAAGGTTCTATGGTGACTTTTAAGATAGTCTTCAGTCTGACTACAGGGCAGAGCCAGTTCGGGCACCCTCTCCTCTATTGCTTAGGGTCTTAGCTGGGGTCATCCTTGTGGATTCCTGGGAACTTCACTAGTGCCATATTTTGCTAGCCCCATAATGACTCCTTCAATCAAGGTATCTCTTTCCTTGCTCTCCCTCTTTGTCCTTCCCCCATTTTGACCATCCTGTTCTCTCTAGTTCTCTTCCCTGCCTCCCCTCTCCCCCCCCCCTTCCCGCTGCTCCCAATTTTCTAAGGAGGTCTTGTCTATTTCACCTTCCCAGGGGATCTATGTATGTTTCTCGTAGGGTTCTCCTTGTTACTTAGCTTCCTGGGGTTGGAACATTTATTTTTGAGACAGAGTTTCTCTGCAGCCCTGGTTGTCCTAGAACTTGCTCAGATTCAGAGATCTGTCTCAAGAGTGCTGGGGCTAAAGGTGTGCACCGCCACCACTGCCCCGTCCAAGCCTGGCCTTGCTAAAGTGCAGACAGAGCTTTTTTCTTTTCATATTAGCTCATCATTTCTCGAAACAGTTTTCATTTCGCAGCCTCCCATTTCCCTAGGAGAAATGTACCATTATACTATGTTTTCTTTCTTTTTTCCACCCTTATGGTCTTTGACAACCATTTTCATGGTACGGAGGAGAGAGGGAAATTTCAATAATAATTTTCTGTCTGGCCCTTTGCAGTTTCACACCAGCAGTTTTGGGTGTTAGCGCAGTTTTTGAGTCTGGCTGAAGAAGTGTCTCTAAACTGGGTTGTGGTGACTTGTGTTCACATGACGTGTTCCGAGTGTTCACTTGGCAGATCTCGGCTGCCATGTCTCCTGGGATTCTGAAATGTGACTAGCCTCCTTAGATGCATGCGTGAACATTATTTGCTGGTGAGATCCTCCTCCTCCTCCGCTTCCTTGTTGAAGAAATGTCATTTCCTATTGTAGTTACCACAGTCTGGGAAAATGGACACTGAGTTTTTGTTAACTTGCAAAGAATAATTATTTTCAGAGTTGTGGTGCTCTGATTGCTGCTGTAGTAATACCTGCATGGACCAGGTTGCCTGTTGCCAGCACCTTTTATTTTCCCAGGAAGATAGATATTTTATGGCTTGTTTGCTCTTTAAGATGTCACAGGTCCAGGGAGTTTTATGGTGGAGTGACTTGCTCTGGTGTTGAGCACTGAAGTAACTGGCTTGTTTCATTAGCCTCTCTTCTATATTAGCAAGTTCACCATTCGATTTTGTTGTCTTTGAATATAAATCTCGGTAAGGAGACACACTGGAAAGAAGAGAGGCTTTTTTGAGTTCTGCAGATTTGATTTTGGTTACACAGAGTCATTAAAATATGTGCATAAAAACATCGTAGAAGGTGGAATTTATCAGTATGTTTTCTGTTTCAGACACGGAATCGATTTGAGGGAACCAGGTCAGAAGTGGAAGAACTTATGAATAAAATCAGGCAAAATCCCAAGGACCACAAGCGAGCAAGCCAGTTCACAGCGGAAGGCTACCTGTATGTCCAGGAGAAAAGTAAGACGTGTGCAAAACAGGCTGATTGGGTTGGTTTAAGTCCGTGGTGCAGACTGTGCTCTGTGCCTTCAGGAGAGCTTCCCGTGAGCGCAGCCAACACAGTGAGAAGATTTGAGCAGAACGATCAAAACCAAACCAAGGCACTGCATCTGTGGGGTACACATGCAAGCTCTCTTGACACTGAGATGTTTTACTGTGTAACTGAAGTGGCCTTAAATTCCCTGCATAGTCCAGGCTGGCTTCAACCCAAAGTGCGAAAATTTCAGACTTCTATTCCTCTTCCTCTTCTGACCAGCGGTTTCTGTAGCACATGCATTGTGTTCTGTACTGTTGGTGGTAACTGGAGAGGAGTTAAGGCAGGTAGGAGGATGTGTGCAGGCCCTATGCTGCTCTAAGACTGGAGAGGCCAGAGAATCAAATCCCCACTGACACCTGGCAAGTTTATTTGAGTCCTTACAGTACTGTGATAATTGGGAAATTACCCCCGTACTTTTTTTTCGCCCTCTGTGGTCTTGAAGGCATATTTAAATATAAAAACATGATTTTTTTTTTAATATATGGATGGGTGTGCTGAGTGTGAACCATATGAACAGGAGACTAAAGAGGTCAGAAGAGGGTGCTGAGTCCCCTGGATCTGGAGTTTTGGGTGGTTGTGAACCAAACCCAGGTCCTCCGCAAGAGCAGCAAGTGCTCTTAGCTGCGGAGCCATCTCTCCAGCCCCTTTGCCCACATTTCTGCCTTGGCTTCAGCGTGCCTTGGCTTCAGCCACGCTGCCGTGCTGTTTAGGGGTTTGTTTCTGAGAGAGCTAAGGCTGCAAGCACAGCTCCAGGAGTGACCCTGACACCAGCCCATTTCTGTTCTTTCCTCTTCTCAGTCCTGAGCAGTTCCGGCCAGTGCTGTGACCGCTCCTGCCGAGATCTTCCTGCCTCCACATCTCTACATCCTCTCCCACCGCCTCATGACCCTACCACTCATATAAGTCAGCGGGGGCATCTTGTTCTTTCAGTTTATTCTGAGATAGGTTGTTTTCTACAAAGTTGTTAGGAAAGGGTTAGAGAGACGGCTCAGCGGTAAAGAGCACTTGCTCTTCCTGAGGACCATGGTGCAACGCCAGCTCCCATGCTTTGTGGCTTACAACTCTTCAAGGGAAATCTGATGTCGCTGGTTCTCCACTCACATATACCAATGCACATGATTAAAAATCTTAAAAGATATTTAGAGGACTGTAGATGGATATAGGAATATTGCTACATAGCAGTATTTGACCTATAGTCATTTTATGTTGTCTGTTTTGTGTGTCCTATTACAAAGGACTTGAGGGCTGGTACTTTAGCCAAGTGGTTTACTTGGCTCATGATTTTGGTGGTTGAGAAGGGTCCCCTGGCTGCACCACAATGGAGCAAAGTGGAAAAGCAAGCAGATTGCTGCACGTGTAAGGGATGCTTTGCTTTAAAATAAAGATTCTGGAGAGATGGCGTAGTTTGTAAAGTTCCTGCACCATAAGCCCGAGGATTTGAGTTAAGATCCCAGCACCCATCTAAAAAAGCTGGGTGTAGCCATGAGTGTCTAACCCTGGTACTGTACGGGGGTAGAGAAGATAGAGATGCTCCTCGGAGCTCACTGGCGGCCCAGTCCAGGCATTGGCGAGCTCTGGGTCTTCAGAAGAGACGGTGGACGTGATAGTGGAAGATACTTGGCCTCATGCATCCATGGACGTGGACGTGCTCAGGCCCACACATATGCGTATGCACCACACACACTTGCCTCGAGAACTAACCTGAGAGCTCTGTGAATGCCATGTGGGGGTGGCGCCCATCACCCGGTCAGGACTGATGGTTGAGCAGTGACCAGTCATTGCACAGTTGCTGTGTCAGGCTCCGTCTAGAGGAGTTTCTAGCTGGGAAATTAAAGAAACAAAATCTCATCCAGTGTTCTGGGTTGAAGTCTTCAACTGATCAGACGTATTGAATGTTTCACTTCTCACCCTTAGCTTTGCTCAGGGTGCTTCACAGTTTCCTTTCCTTGGTTGAGTGTGGCCAGCTTCGCTGACGTTCACATTGGCCGGCTGGGGAGGAGAGGATTCAGGGAGTGGTCGTGCCACCTGCGCCCTGAATCGAAGCTGGAGGCGCCAGGATGCTGTGTTTCCTCCATCTAACCTGGAATGCCCCGCAACTCTTGGGTTTTCCAGCACTCTGGAAGTTTATCACTTCCGAGGGTGATAGTTATCGCGTGAGTGTGGGTGAGGCCACGAGGCCACGCAGCGGAACATGTGTGGAGGAGCTGGCTCTCCCTTTCCGCTGGGGAATCACCCCGGTGTCATACCATGTGATGTTAGCTCATAGTTATCTACTGAAAATGTCTTAAACTCAGGTCTCACAGTGTCCTGAGGGGCTTCCTGTCTCTTGTAGTCCCTCCTTCGGTTAGCCCCTGCATTTTTGTGCTCTGCTTGGCTGAACTGTGCAGTAATGTGCTCCCCTGGAGCATGTCTGCCTCCTCACGAGGAAAAACATAAAGATCTGTGCTTTGTTGAAGGGCCGGCTCCATTTGGGTCCAGTTGGGTCAAACACTATTGCATGTATCGGAAAACAGCCAAGAAATTCAACATGATCCCGTTTGAACACCGATCTGGGGGGAAACTGGTAAGTCCTTGATGTTAGTTTTGTATTTTTATGAGAGTTACTTGTAGGGCCTGCCATTGTAATAATTTGATATTGACTATTGAGAAATTTGGTTTTAGGATTAAAATCTTTGTTTTGTTTCTAAATCACAGGCCTGCACCTTTACAGTTAGATTATAAAACAGAGCAGTAGAGTTCTTATGTCAGTGTTTCAGAAGAGAAGGGTGATTACTGCATTCAGTTTTGTGGCTCAATTACGTAGGACTTATTTTTGTAGGAGATCTGGCCCGTTCACATAATGTGTATTCAGAGTCTGCAAAAACTGGAAGGTGTAGTGATCTCTAATGAATTCCTTCTCGTTAGGTAGGCACACAGAGTTCTCATGTGGTTATTCCCTGTTTAACCTAGCTGCTCAATTCTAAGAGATGACTGGTAGAGCCCAGCCTGATAGTAAGACATTAAGATCTGGCTGTGCAAGGTAGGTGACCTTCCTGTGATGCTCAGAGCAAGCCCTGGCCCGCTAGCAGCGAGTGTGATTGGCCACACACTCTAAGAAAGCATTCTGTGCAGAGTGAAGGGGTTAGCCTTGGCTCCTGCAGGGCTGCACCAGTGCACAGAGATTTGAGCATTGTGCTTGTTTGCAGGGGGATGGAGAGGTGTTCTTTTTGAAAGAATGCACCAAAAGATACACCGACTCCATCGACAGAAGGTTTTGCTTCGACATTGAAGCTGCTGACAGGTAAGTGGAATTAGTTAGATATGATATTAAAATTCTTTTGACAGTATTTTTTTAAAAAACAAGTTGAAGGAGTGATTCCTGTGAACTAGAAAAATGTTACCTTTTTATGTTTCCAGGTCACCTTCATTGTAAACTGTTGTTGGTCACTATAGTTGTAGGGCCAGAGCTTCATCTTGGCCGAGGACTGGAATCTTCCTAACCTGTCCTGAAGGAGACACATTGAACATTTCTTTGTTGATGCCCTTCTGATTGGCAGCAGAAGGAGAACAGTGAAAGAGAGTGTGAATGGAGTGTGAAGTCAGAAGACAGTCTTGTCATAGCAGTACAGAAAGTGGATTTCTTCATGTGTGCATGTGTGTGTGTGTGCGCGCACGCGTGCGTGTGCAGTTCCAGTGTGCGTTCTCATTGTGGAGTAGGGCATCTAGGCTTTTGTTGTAGTCGAAGACTTTTCTTACCAAGTCACTTCCAAGCATTCAGCTTTACAAGCGTCTTTGACAGGGAGGCAGAAATAACGTTCTATTCTAACGTTCTAATGTTCGTGTCCTACGTGCACTCAGCACTGTGGGTGGCGAGTCCATGCCACCCTGCGTGGCTGTAGTAGTTTGTACACAAATCTGTTTGATGCCTGTGTAATACAAGTTTTCCAAAGGAGAGTAGTAAGGACAAACTTAATTGTCGCTGCTTTCGTCTTTGTGATCTAGCTGAGAATGTGGAGTTTGTATAGAGGAAAAGACCCATGAGTGAATTCACTTAAGACCACTCACATAAAAACGTCCCCTTCGGCACCGGACAAATTTGGCAGTACCGTGACAGGGACATATAAAGGAAGGTTTTGCTGAGATTGTAACAGAGAGTATTGCTTGAAAATGTGCTAAAATTTAAGTCACTTACAGACTGCTTAGTAACCTGTAAGACTTTTGTGTGTTCTCAAGAAGACCATGTGTCCACAGCTGCCCTTGACCCGGTCCTTTCTGGTTCCCAGGTATTTTATCTCATCAGTCCTCACCCTCTCCCAGGTGAAACTGTGAGCTGCTGAGTGGGAGAACTGAGGTCTGAACCTGGACTTTCCCCCGGGAAGGCCAGTCTCCTATCTGCCATGTTTCAGGCCCCAGAAGACCGATGTGCAGTCAGGCTGCTCTTACGTAATCAATACAGACAAATCGGAAGTCTAGTTTGCTAGGTGGTGCTTTGGGAGCTTCTGTGCACTGTGAGTACGGTTTGTGTGGTACTTGCCGAAGCTCCTGGTTTTGGAGACATTGATGATGCCGAATGAAGTTTGCTGACCACAGTCTTTACGTGACTGTGGTAAACTGTAACCTTTTTTTCTGCTGCTCAGAACGACAGATGAGAGATTATCACTGAGTCATTTTTATATAGAGATAAGATCTTGTGAGGTGGTCGAGGCTAGTCCACAATCCCTCTTTCTCAGTCTCTCCAGTGTTGGGATAACAGGCTTATACTCCATGCCTGGCTAGGATAATAACTTTAAAATAGATGAAGAATTGGAATTTACAGGAAACCTGCCCTGGTGGTTTGTTAATTTTTATAAGACTGCCCCCTTTTGAAATACAGTTGAATTAACACATGAAAGCTGCACGGAAGAGAGTGTTCTAACTGACGACGTGTCCCGTTCCTTGACTGCTGGTCTCTGCTGGGTTCACATCAGTACCTCCCTTCTTCCTTTCCTCTCCTCCCCCTTTTTTCCTCCCTTCATGTAACCCCATTGGACTTTGACCTACCATTTTCTCTTGCCTCTACTTCCTAAGAGCTTGGATTCCAGGCATGTGCACCTGTGCCAGTTATGACCCCGGTCTTTACCAACTCCAGCCATTGTTCCCATCCTCCCGAACTCTGGTTGTCCCTCCCTGCGTTAGTCAGGGTTCTCTAGGATCTGTTGGAATGACTTTCAGGGTGCACTCCCAGCTAATCCAACAGTGGCTTCTGTGAATGGAAAGTCTTAGAATGTAGTAGCTGCTCAGCCCACAAGGCTGGGTGTCTCCGCTGCCCTTCAGTGTGCGCTGGAACCCTGAAGAAGTCGACTCTGGTGCCAGTGAAGAAATGGATGTGTTAGCAAGGCAAAATCTGCCCTTTTCTGTGTCCTTATATAGACTTCCAAAAGAAGGTGTGGCCCAGATTAAAGGTGTGCCATCCCGCCTCCAGATCTGGATCAGATGTGTGTCTTTCTGTCCCAAAGGACTGGACTAGAAGTGGATTCACCCACTTTCAAATCAAGTAAAAAAATCTGACAGGTGTGCCCTCTATTTCTGGATTGTAGTTCATTCTAGATTATAGCACGAGTTCTAACAGGTCTTAATAATAAAAGCCTAGAGTCAGATATAGGGTAAAATGCTGAGAGATCAGAGAGATGAAGGAGCCAGACCACAGCCATCTTGTTGCATTAGGAGCGGCAGGGCTGCGTCCCTGGCACCCAGCCGCCCGCACGGCTAGCTTATGCCCCGAAATAATTACACGGAAACTGTATTCTTTCAAACACTGCCTGGCCCGGCTAGTCCAGCTTCTTATTGGCTAGCTCTTACATATTGTTCTAACCCATTTCTAATATTCTGTGTAGCCCACGAGCTGGCTTACCAGGGAGGATCTTAACCTGCATCTGTCTGGAGCTGGAGAATCATGGCGACTCCTTTACTAAGCTTTTTCCCAGCATTCTCTTCTGTCTACTCCGTCTACCTAATTTTC